TTAATAAAATGGTTAATTTTTTGTGATTATAACTATCTTTTAAATTATTTTGAAGAATAAATAAGTCTTTTATCATGAGATATTTATTTTTTAATCATTCGTAAATATATTAAAAAAATATTATAACTTTAATCTTATCTTGATTAGATATTTAATTTCTTTCTTTATAGTATTTTTAAGACCTCTCACATCTAAATAAATTTTTATTATCTAATATATATGATAAATAATTTTCTTTCATAATAACAAGTGTCACAAGTTTAAAATTTGTAAGATTTGATATATTTAATATTATTTTTTCAAAAATATAGGATTTCTTATAAAAGTGTGTAATAGAATCGTGTGTTGACAACATTTTATGAAATTAACAAAAAAATTATAGTAAACAAAAGAAATAGAAAAAATAAATTTTATATGCTTAAATCTATAATTCAAAATCTTATATCTTTAATTGTGAATTAAATAAATTGTTATAATTTTTTAAATAGAAGAAAATAAGAAAATTAACGTTTACTCGTAATAATTTATAACACAGATCAGATAATATTTTCACACATAAATTCTTTTCAATATTCAATAATGTTTAAAATTAAAATATTAAACTATACGATGTTTTAAATCAATCATATGATGATTAAAAAATTTTCAATTTCAATTATCTATTTGCAACTATCACAATCATCTATTTTACCTTATATATTAAAAAATTCTTTCACTAAATATGCATATGCATACGAAAGTGATTGAACTCGAATTTTCAAACAAAGGTAGAGTTTATTGGTTGATTGAGTTTGAAATAGAACACCACAAATGGGAATGCGGCTACGAGATGCGATGACCAGAGACTCTGAAACATGATCCACCATTTGAACACGCTCAAGCTCTACATATTTGTAATACAAGTTAATAGAGCTCGACAATATACATGTATGCGTGGTAAGGGTTAAAAGGAGTAAATTTTGACCAAATAATTAAAATGAGTAGTTAAATTTAGATTCACTTAAAAACTTGTGCAAGTTCATGTGAAATGATCTCCATAATTATTTTATTTTTATAAAGCGGAAGTTGACCCAGAATGTATGAATTGACTTTACTAAGATGCTGTGTTTTTGTTCATAATTTATTGATACTAACGGGTGAGGTAAGGAAGTCAAAGACATCAATTTTTGAGAAAGGGAAAACAATGGTTAATTGATCCATCTTTTTCCAAAATACTACTTGCATTAGAAATTCACATTCAAAATCTGTCAGCTGACTAAGTTACAATGGTTACTGCATGACCCTCGAGACTCAGTCTTCTGTATAAGGAAACCTTTAGATGAAAAAACAAAACCATTAGAAATCTTTTGTTTTTCTTTTCTGTTTTGTAGCATTTAGAAAATGACATCTTTAAAATGTTACCCAATTCTCATCTCACGTAAAAGCTCTTTTATGAACGAACTTACATTTAATATTGATGGATAAACTTTTAACGGCTTCTAATTTTAGGTAATGTAAGACTTGCACGTTAACGTCTTATTTTGAAATACCTCCAACAGACGTGCCATTATGAAATAAAATTCTAAAAATAATATATATATATATATATATATATATATATATATATTATTCCATGGTTGGTGTATCACTAAAAATTACTATTATTAATCTTATTTTTAATTATAATAAATAAAGACTCATTTGTAAAAGTATTAAGTTGTCTATTTATATATATTTATATAAAATTGACTTAGATCTATTAATACTATATATATTTATAACAAAATATATAATTATTAAAATTTAGAATAGTTATAGTCACGAATAATATTAGTAGAATGAATGTTACAACGTTAGAAAAAGAATATTACATAATTGGTGACATAAATGGTTTGAATGGATGTTAGTTATACCTTATACAATATAAAAACAGAAATAATAATTTAATTATGAATGAATTGTATGTAAAATTGATTGTACTTATTTAATAGTTAAAATTTAAAATTTTTAGAGTCACGTATGATGGTGAAAGAAATATATAATTATAATTATAATTGATTCAGAATAATCACTTATAAATTGTATTTTATGAAATTTTATTTGAATTAATTGAATATAAAATTTTACGTTGATGATTTTACCAGATTAACAATGAAAATTATTAACATAAATAAAATAATTATAAGAATTTTATGTGGATGGTTATATGTTGTTTAATAATAATTATTGAAATTGATTATATATAAATGTGGAAAAGGCCACCATAAAATGTTGAATATGAGAAAAAAAAGAGTATTAATTAAAATTGTGTCAAAATAATCTCGCAAAAATTGAATTTTGACAATTTTTAATATAAATAAAAAGATAATTTTTATTACATTATTTTTTTTCATGTTTTGATATATTATTAAACAGATTTTTATATTCACTTATCTAAGTAATTTATTTACACAACTTTTAAAAAAAATTTAAGAGCCAAAATATCAAATTTAAGACAGTATAAAACTAGAATAAAAATAAAAGTTCTAAAATAAAAAAAAAATACATGTAAAAATAAAGAACATGTTTAAACTAAGAATTTTCATCAAAAGTCTCGAAAGAAAAACTACAGCTGTCACTAAAATTTATTGTATAAAATATTTTTCGTTGATGGCTACAAGAGTTTAAAAACAGGAATAAAATATTGGTTATGAATTACATTAAATAATTTTAAAAGGTAATTATGAATAAAAGTGGAAAAGTTTGTCCCAGAATATTAAAAAAGGAAATATTAATTATCTTAATTTTTTTAATTTAAATAACATTAGATATATTAATAGTGAATAAAATGCAATTAAATATGAGGAAATAAAGTGGACAAATCAATTAGGCCAAAATTAGAATATAAGCATCACCAACACCGTTCAAAAAAATAATTATAATACAATTATGCAAATGAAAGATAATATGTATTACATTGATTCCGCATCTTCTATTATATCGATAAACAAGTTTTCATCTTCTCCTGTATAAGTAATTTTTACACAATTTTTAAAATTTTGTCAAAAAAATTTTCTATCGTTTTGCAATCATGCAACTCTCAATATGTATCTAAAAATTAAGTACTGTATTTTTTAGTTTAATATTTTTTATTTTATTTAAATAAATTATGTTATTTTATATTTATTGAAATAATAAAGATACTAACGAATAAAAACAAGATATCGTCACTAAAATATCATATAAATTACAATGAAAAATTTAATTTTTAATGTTACTCTATCCATTTTATGCTTATCATCCTTATTTCTAGACACTAAAATTTATAACTTAGAAAAATTAAAATTAAAATTATGAACCATATGATATTTTTTTTTAAAAAGTAATAAGATTGAAAAAATAATTAAATTTATTTTTTTAAAGTATGAAATATAGAGAACAGTCACGTGAACAATTATTCTCTGAAGTATACTTCTGAAAGCAATTCTATGCGAAATTGCTCTTTAATGTCAACATTGGAGAGCAGTTAAATAATTGCTCTCTTAAATGCAAAATATTGGATAGCGCAAAATTTTAGAACACTTATAAATGTTCTTTAAGTTCAAATGAAACCGCTTTTATATCTCCTTTCTGTAGTATATGATGTTTCTCTTAGTAGGTTTGTTACAACTCTATTAGGTGGATCTTCAAAACATTGGCTATAGTCGGAAGAGATGCATGATTTTCCATGGGACATTACGGTACAGCTGCTAAATCTCGAAAGGAAAATTTAGAATATGCTCAAATTCTTCTAATGTGAGCCAACTGAAAATCTTGAAAGGTGAAACACCTTAATGAGAAATCATAATACTAAGTTAGGGTTGTTATGATATATGCACATCAACTTCCATCAATCTCAAGATATTTCCAATTCTCTTTACTTCAATAAGTTGTTGAATCTTTAACTTCTTTCCTAATTCTCACAAACTAGTAGTGTTGACCTTTTTAACTTTTAGATGTAACTTTCTTTTTAATTCAAATGATTTTATCTCAATGCTACTTAATCTCACAATATTTAAACAACTTTGTATTTCTCGACCTATAAATAAAATAAAAAGGATGAAAAATTATTCAAAATCTTTTGTTTGCTTCATTAATATAAGATATTAGTAGTAACAATGATCAATATTAATTTTAAATGGATAAGTTTTTAATGTAAAGATCAACATTCATTTCAAATGGATCAATAATCTATAAGATACTTATATCAATGAAACAAATATAAGATGATATATAATGTTGTAAAAATAATATGAATCATTACTATTTTAATAATCTCTTTGAAATTATTTTTTTTTTAAATTTAAATTTATACAATTTACAAAGGCAGAGTGGAGATAAGTATAAAGATTTAATTCACAAGAACATTTGAACATGAAGTTATAAAAAATCTGAAAGGAACACTTACTTAATGATGGGGATATTATTTCTACCTCTTTGTAATTTTTTAATTTCTTCTCTTTTTTTAGCTCTTGTTTTTATTTCGTTTTCTTCTAGGATGCTTCTCTTTTTTTGTTCTTTGTTTTTCACCTTTTCCTTTGTTCGATTTTTTCTTTTACGTTCTCTACCCTTGCTTTCTTTTTTCTTTTCAAGTTTTTTATGCTCTTTGGGATTAAAAAAGGTTAAATTTATGTTCCAATTTATTTTCATGTCAAAAGTTGGTTCAATTTTTTGGTTTATTTTCCTGCAAATTTTTTTTTATCTATTTTGAAGTCAAATTAGAGTTTTTCCAATTTGTAAAAATTAACTTTTATTTTTCTTAAAATAAAATTATTTATTTTCTGATTTTCTAAATCAAGATAAAAAAAATTAAAATTTTAAAACAAAAATTAGTATTCAACTGTCAGCCTAGAAATGTCTTTTCATATTAATTGATATAATTTCTCTTCAACTATGCCTTTATTACAAATTTGAGGGGATATTCAACGACTAAATTAAGGAAGTCTTTTTCACCCGACCAATATTACCCATTAACAATTGTGCCTCCCAAGTGCACTGCATTCTCATATCTGCATCACCAGTGCTTCAAAAATTTCCATGGCAGAAGCAGGCAAACCCAGAAGCACATTTATGCTTTTCCTTTCTTGACCATGTGACAAGAACAAAATGACTTCTTTCTCAGGCAAGGTGACAGGGCCAGAACACAAAGGTTCCCCCCACCCAAAATCTGTGGTGTGGAAAGACAACCTAGTCCAAGTTGTGATCAAAAGTGTAGCTGTTAAGGAAGGCCTTGCTCTTGTCACTTCAAAATAGTCAATGGCAGATCTCATATAACTATCTGTCACCAATTCAATTGCCCCACGAATCAATGCCACTGAAAATGACAAGGGGTTCTTCAATAGCTCCCCTGCCTTACACACTGAATTTGTCAACACAATAGCATTTCCAAAGTACCCTTTTGGAATTGGAGGCACAAATTTTGACCTTCCATCAACTGCAAAGAGAAGCTTTGTTTGTTGATCAGGTTGCATCCTTAAGGCTGCGGTTCTAGCTCTCCAAACAAAAGCTGAAAGGACTTCAAAAGTTGAGCACTTTTTCAAAACCCCATTCTCAGTGGCCTTTTTCTTAAGTAGCTCAAGCTTCTTGGGGTCGAAAAGGAAGGATCTGTAGAGCATCTTTTCTTCTTCATAGAGTTTTTTAGTGTTTGATACATCTTCTATTTCGGCAAATTCATTGTGTTGAAACTCTATTTTGGGAGGGTTACGTGCTTTGATTATGGTTCGATCGAGAAATGGTGGAATCTTTAAGTCCAATCCTCGCGCTATCTCGCTCCATACATTCACAAACTCCATGGCACATAGCCCATCTTTCATACAGTGATTCATGCATAGCCCCAAAGTGAATCCTCCGCATTTGAACTTTGTCACCTGGAACGTCATTTAGCACCTTAGATATATGCATGCTGTTGCTGAAAAAGAACATCACCAAACACACACACACATGAAAACGTACAACATAAGAGGGCTATTTCTACTTGAGATTAAGGACAGCTGCAATACTATTAAATTTTTATTGAATTGCCTGCGTTAGAAGGTAAAAGCTATAGGGCTTTTAGGCTTGTTTGTATCACAACTATAATCGATTTTGTAAAAAAAAAAAAATTACAATCGTCCATCAATATGCACTAGCCTTCTGAACGAGAATTCAAATAGGTTTTAATGTTGGCATAAAGGATAAAAAATAGTTATAGTTCTTTAAGTACGGTTTATTAATTAAAATGAAAATATTATTTCAATAATATGCATTAACGTTAAATATATTTTTTATTAAAATAAAAATTAAATTTTAACTTATAAATAATATGTAAAAACATACATAAATTATAATTAACTTTTAACCTTAACAATTTATGCATGATTTCATATTTAAGATTTGCTCGAATATATGAAAATGGACTAATTTACACTAACATAAAAAAAAAAAAAAAAACTCACTATTATAAGGCCTTTAAGAATTTCTTACTGAATAATTATATTCCAAAATATATCATTAAATTGAAAGTTTATAAGTTATATATACAATTTTTATTATAATTTAGAATCATTTAATATTATATTGATAAATGGTTGTGGTGAAATGTTAATTATTTTAGTTCATTGTAGGTGCAGCTGTTGGAAGCTAGGTATGATAGACTAGTTTCTGTTATTCAGCGTCCATCAGTCAACAACAAATGTTCTTTGTGGTGGCATGATTTGCTGGAGGTTATTCATCAAGAAAATTTATGGTTGGATGAGAAGTTGGATAGGGGTGTGGGTGCAGGTTTACACACTCTTTTTTAAAGAGATAAGTGGGTAAGTGGGATGCCATTGTGTGAGGTATTTTCGCAATTGTTTGCTGTGGTGAGGAATGTTGAATCTTGTATATTAGAGAATAGTTTTCATGATAGTACTAGGTGGGTTTGTGATGTTAATTGGCGAAGAGGACTCTTTTAACATGAAATCTCAAGCTTTAATCTTTTGTTAGAACTTGTGGTTGGAGTTCCTATTAAGGTGCAACAAGAAGATAAATGGGTATGGAAGGCAGATTATTCAAGTTGTTATTCGGTACAATATGCGCATTCATGGCTATTTGAACCTTTTTGGTGATCCTAATAGTGTAAATCAGTGTACGGCAGACACTTTGCAAAAGTTATGAAAAGAAAATGTCCCTCTTAAGTATTTAGTATTTTCTTAGCAATTGTTGTTGAATGTATTTCTTTGTAAAAGTTTGTTGATTGATCGTGATGTTCAAATCGATGATATAACTTGTTGCTTTTGTCATAGTTTGGAGGAACTTTCAAATCATTTGTTTCTAACGTGCTCAATTTTATCTTAAATCTGATACTTTACGATGTGTTGGCTTGGATTCTCATTTGTTTTGCCTTCAGATTTATCGACTCACTTACTTTCTTGGGTTAGTATTAGTTGTAGTAAAAGATAAATGATATGTTTATTAATTGTTTGGGTAAGTACAGTGTAGTCTTTATAGTTACACAGAAATATAATAGTATTTTTTAATGGTGTTTTGGATGAGAATGAAGTCACAAATTATATTATTCTGATGTCCTAGAAATGACTATTATTTGTCAGTAAGAGAGAAGATATTTTGTTAGTAGATAGGTATTTAAACTTACAAAATTACATCCATCTTAACTTTACATAAGTATTTTTTAGTTTTTATTTTTTTAAGTAAATATTAGTTTTTTCTCTTTGTATATGGGTTTTAAGTTTCCTTTAAACTCTCTCTAATAATATATGTTTTGCTTAATAAAAAAAATTAATACTACATTGATATACATTAAAACTAATATAATATATACTTTCAAAATAAATAAAAATATGAACCATTTGATACTTATATATTAATTATTTTTGTAAATTTTAGGCAAATATTCAAAATAAAACATATGTATAATCCAAAAATTGAATTAATAAAAAGTAAATGTATATAAAGTTACCAAGATTATTATTATTGTTAATGAAGTAGTAGTATATAATAGTAAGTAATGCAAAGACAATTATATTGCTTCTATGTGTAAGTTGATATTTAGGTTACGAAGCAAGTCAAACCTGAACAGTCATAAGAGGCATCTCAAGAATGTTTCGAGCACTAGGGATGTTGTAAACCAGTTTCCCAAGAGCATCGGGGTCTGGCTTTGTTAAGTCTCCAATGTCTTCTATGTTACAATTTGCTTCAGCCTCAACAAATACTGCACCCTCCCCAGTGTTATCCACCATCAACTTCCCTTCAGAGCTTATAGTCAACGTTCCTGCCATAGGATAATAAGGGACAAGAATCTTCGACAAGGCATTCTTGATAACTTGTGCAGCATCCTCATTTCCTCTAGAAGCAGATTTAAAGGAATAAACCGTGCGCACTGGAACAGCAATATTCTGGTCAAGGTTTGAAAGGAAATAGGGTCCCTTTTCTGTTTCCTCTTCAGGTTGAACTCTAGCTGGTTCTCCTTGCTTTACTTCCAGCTCGATGCTAGAGATGTTTGCATTAGCCATCACGTTCGAATTAACCTTTGAAGTGTTGACTTAAAGTGGGTTCATCCAAGTCTCACATCCAAAAACTTAAAAAGGGAAGAGGTAAAAAATATTATGAATATAACCATTTTGAATAGCTGTGTATTCGTTGACATAAGCAAGAGGTATGGAACCATGCTTAAATTATGTGTGTGTGTGTGTGTGTGTTTTTTTTTTTTCTATGTGAACTGTGATAGAAAATGCAAAAGACTTTTCTGTTTCCTCCCAACATTAAGGATCCACCGTGATAGAACATGGTATTTGTATGCAAAAACAATGTTAAGGCTGTTGCCAACTTATAAAAATTTCATAGCCCCACAAAATGAACAAGTTCAGAGAAATTCATCATGCATGGAAAAGGGAGCATATGTATTTGACAAAAAAAAAATGCAAATATTAAACAAGGTATACAATTCACTCGGCTTTTTAATTACCTGAATAATCTTTAGCACGGGAAATGCTGAGTCGATAAAATGATTAAGGATATGATATTAGAAGATGCATGTAGGATTGCAGGAATTATATAGGAAGAGGAGAGATAAAATGTTTTTGGTGACCATTTCGTTTGATTAACAAAATGTAGCAACTTGATAGAGACATATTATTATAACTGTATTTTTAGTTTATGGGTGCAATTTGCACTCATACACGTTAAGTTATAGCACGGTAGGAAACTAAACATTACCAGGTAGAAACGAAATATGACGGAATTGGTTGGCCGAGTTGGCGTTCCAAACTCACCTAACTCCACCCATCATTTTTTCAACTTCTACATTCATCTTATCACTTGTTTCTTTCTTTTTCTTTATCACACTGCCCATTAATTACGTAAAGAGAGATATTATAATTATTCAATTTGCTTTACAATAGAAAGGGAAATAAAGAGAGAAGAATGAATGTATAATATTATGTTTGATGTAATAAAACAAGATAGGAAACAATATTTCATATAAAGCATTATAAAGAAATGTTATTATTATTAAAATATCCGTTACACAGTTTTTTTCTTCTTCTTTCTTATCTATTTCTTTGTTTTCAAGTTGTGTACACCTTAGATATTTGAGAACTTCAGTCTTCCAAAATAAAGATTGTACTTTAAGGATGAGAAGTTATCCGTTTATTAAAAAAAATAAAAATTATAATTATAATAAAATGTGTTCACCTATACAATAAATTATAAAATAATTAATAATTAATTTTTATTTAATAATAGACAAAATTATACTTTTAGTTTAACTTTTACAAATTTTTTTCTTTGATTCTTTAACTTTTTAAAGTTTAATTTGTCTCTCTAACTAACTCTACTTATTTTAAACAAGTCTTTTCAATTAAAAATACTAACTAATTTAAATTTTATCTTTATTTACCATATATATTATTCATCTTCTTTCACGTGTCTTCTCCTTTCTCTTTCACATCTTCCTTTTCTTCTTTCCTTTCATCATCTTCTTCTTATCCTTCTTTTTTTTTCTCCCCCTCCCTTCTTCTTCCTCTTCATCTCCTTTATTGTGTAGGATTTTTGAATAAAACAATAAAAAGCAATGATAATATTCTTTAAAAAAAATTCATAATATTGATGGGACCTAATTGGAGCCAAATGTTTTCAATATGAATCATCTCTGTGGATCAAGTGGCTTTTGGTTGGTGATAGAAGTTTTGCAATAGAAATTGAAGATAAAGTAGTACAAAAGAAAAGAAAAAGACTAAAGTAAGGAAAGGAAGAAGAAGGAAGGAAGGAAGAGAAAATCACAAGGAAGGAAAAAGATGAAGGCCAAAAATAAGTAATTAGAGACATGTAGTATTGAGAAAAGAATATTCATGAAAAAAAATATTACAAACCTAAGTAATAAAAAAAAGGCATAAGGTAACAGTCCAAAAACGTAAAATTACAAGTTTAGACTAAAAAATTAAAAAGAAAAGATACAAGTCACAGTTAAGATAAAATTAGTTGAACTTAAGAGAGAGCATTGAGATATCAAGTCTCACGCTGATGAGCTAATAACAAATCAAATGTTATACAAATAAGATAGTTTTACTACAAAATAGCTTAAGATATTTTAGCAGAGTTAATATTTTTAATGAAAAAATATATTTTAAATATTTTTTAAAGTAAGAATAATAAATTAAATTTTTAAAAATTAAGAGATCAAATAAAAAAACTGTAGAAATCAAAAGACTAAAATACAATTTTTCCTTAATAATACAACTATATTTTGTCTTTCATATTGCAACCCATTGCAACCCCTTACTTTAAGAGTTGCCAAAACAAATAATTATATTACTCTCGATTTATACCATTTATATTAGCAACATTTACAATCAAAACACTACGTGTGTATTTGGATTGAATTGTTTTTAAAATAATTTTAATAATTAATTCTAGATATAATTAATTAATTATTATTATTATTATAATAAATTGTATGATATTGATTTTATTTCTAGATATGTTGGATAAAATATAATTTAAAGATAATTTATATCGTTTAAGTTGTTTCAAATAATCCTTTTCATAGTTAAAGTATAGCAAAAGTATAAAATTATTTATAACAGTTATTTTATATTTAAGTGAATAAATCATTAAAGATAACAGAGAAAAGCAAAACCTAATAAAAATAATCTTTTAGGTTTTAATTATGATTTCTAAAACATTATTTATCATAAAACCCTATTTCCTTCTATTTTTCAATCAATCTGATTATAATATTAAAAAATAGTTTCATCCCAACACATTAATATATAATGCTTTCAATTTATAATTACCCTTAAGCCTGATGTTTTTAATGTACCTATCTTTTCTTTGTTAGGATGTGTTATCATATAAGCAAAATATGTGTTTTACTTTCCAGCTATATTATCGCTAATACAGTGCGTCAGAAGCAAGAAATAAATATAAAACTCATATTCTATCCAGATAGTTGAACCATATTGATCAGAAAAAATTAGTAGTAAAGCATGAAAGTATGTTTATTAGTATAACTTTGTTCATCTTAACACGACATGGACTTTGTAGGTCTTAGCAAGTGACTAGTAGAAGATTTCATTTTATCCCCAAAGATTGGTTTACGCCTTAACAGTATACGACACTTAACTGTGTGCGGATGAGCTCTTATTATAATATTTGTTTGAATACTTACATTTTAAAAATTGATCTATCCCCTTTTACATTTAAACTTTTCACAAGAACAGCTTTCTAGCACACCGTAGCTTACTTTCTCAAGTCTCACCCATGGATCTTGGTCTAATAGATTTTTGATGCACAGGATCCTCTTAGAGAGGCAAGTGTAGAGTATAATCTCTATGTCCTAAAGAATTATTTCTCTTTGTTCTACAAATATTTATGTCATAGTTAAAAAATTAAAACTTTCAGGAAAACGAAAGAGAATTTAGAAAGTCATAATAATAATATAGAAGATGTTATTGATAGTAGGAGGCATTCTCTGCCTTGAACTAATTACAAATACTCCTTATGTAGAGAAATAAGTTAGATACGTGACAATCTATTACAGTATTTATAATGATAACATCAAACATCTTTTAAGGTCGACACGACCTCCTACAGTACACACTTTACATTAAAGGACAATTTTCGTTTACAAAACACAAACATCTGAGGTCCTTGTCTTTATACATAGGCTCGTGACTAGGCAACATATTGGATCATCAGAATCCAAGTCTTTCTTTTGCCAATCCATTAAGTATTTTGGACCTGGATATAGATCTTGAGCATCTTGCATTATTATATGTCCTTTTACATAATCTCCACATACCATTTTATCTCTAGTACTGTAAATAGGTTGCATCATTTGGGTGGTGTCTTTCCAGATATCTTCTTCTTCTGAATTTGATGGATAAATTAAATCAAGTGGTTTTAGATTTATACAAATGAAATTTACTCCAACCATATCTCCAAAAGTTTCATTTAACTCATAAATGTACTATTAATTTTGCTTGTGGAACGGTGATTCATCTTCTTGAGTGAAAACATGACCAAATTCTGACTTGGTTCTCTGTCCATAGCAATTTTGTTAATGAATGTTGAAAATATGGATTATGGATTATTGCTATTGTGACATAATTTTTTGCCTCTTTGGTCTTCTATCCAACTTCAATTTGTTTCCAGATTTGAATCCTTTGTGTTTCCAGACGAAGATCTTTTTTTCATATTGATAATGCTTGATAGCATTCCAAAAAGGTCCATAACAAAGAAGACTTATTTTTGGAATTTTCTAAAAACTCAAAACATTTTAAAAGTTGGAAACAAGATAGGATAATTGTGGATTAAAAAGTACACCATAAATACAACATATCTTATTCAAGAAATTTGGAAGTTCTTCGACTATATGTGGTTGAGGAACATATTTTCCTTGGAAAAAATGCATTCTCAAGAAGTTAATTTCTCTTTCACCTATCTGAGATTTTTTAAAGCATTACTCTGTATTTGTTACATATTTTATAGAATTGTTACAAGGATTTTTTGTGGCTTTCTCAATAAGGGGAGTGCAAAAGAACATCGTCAATATATATCAGGGCACTGGACTGTGGGTCAAAAAATCTGATCATAACTTTCTGAAATAAGGACACTGCTACTTTGAAGCCAAAGGGTATAACTTTGGAATGCATAAAGTTGTTTTTGGTCTGCCCTTTGGATCAAGGCTTAGTAGCCAGAAACCTGACTTCATGTCAAACTTTGGAAATAGTATAGATCTTTGTGAGAGGAAATTCATCATCCCTAAAGAACTAGTTAGGAGGGCAATAATCTACCACAAGTCTCTTTTTTTGCAGACTAGTTCTGATCTTTTATTTACATCGAATGTTGTGTTTGCCCATTCTGAAGTAGTTGGTTCAATTAGCACTTGTTTGATCAATAGTTGACGCTCTTCTTGTGCTGCTTTTAACTTTGATGGATTCATTCATAGATGGGTTGCCTTGGTTGGATTTATATCTTCATTGAGTTTAAAGGCACGTTAACAAGAAAGGAATTGGATGTTTGAAAAGATCATTCTATCGACACAAAGATTGAGAAGTTTTTATTTGATTTCTTCATATCTAGGAAGAGCTTCTACTAGAAAGAAGAGCTTGTAAAAGGGCTTGAATTTCCCCTGGTATTTTAATCCATTTGCCATAATTTGTAATTGTTTGCTTTGGATAAGAATATCTTTCTCAAGAAGATATGATCTTATAGCTTTAGTCCATATGATGCAATCAGGAAAGAATTGCATACCAATTTTGGACCTGGTTATCAAATCAGTTGTAAGTGGCTGCCTTGAATATTTGAGAATGACTTTCCCAACATGTGCAAGGCAATATGGCTAGATTCATCATACTCCTTTGAGCTACAGTATCAAGAAACACTGTGACTTTTATAGGAATATTCAGTGTCTAAATATTCATCATACTTGGAAGAGGAGGAGATTGTAACTTGATGGCATTTATTTCTAGCTCTTCAATTTTCTGAAACTCTAGAAGAGGAAAATATTCAGTGTCTAAATCTTCTTTACTGCTTTCTTCTGAAGACTCATTTTATGAATTTTGAATGTCGAATATTATGAAGTTATCTGGATTTTTCTATTCTTCATATAGTGATTCAACATCTTCTCCTTCTAAAAGAGGAGATTGAACTATCTTAGTGGCTTTTTCTTTCTTGTCAAGATAGTTTCTTAAAAAATGTCTTTTTTTACTGCAGATAAAACATCTCTTGTTATTACCCTTTCCTCTAAAGGGTTTCTTTTTTAAGAATTTGAACTTCTTTTTCTTCTTTCCCTTGAAGGACTTCTTTTCTTCTTCTTCTTTTTTTTCTTTTTTCTTTTTAAAGGAGTTTGCTTTGCAATGACAATTTTTTTCATCACACTTTATTTTCAAGTATTTTTCTTCTTGCAAAACCCTTTATTTATTTATTTTGCAGTCCTTCATTATCTTCTCGAACATTTGTTGTTGACAACATATTTTTTCAAGTGTCGTAATATTGATCTGATGTATTTCTCCGAAGGTCATTTGAGTTATCTCCTTGTTCATTTGCTGCAAAATTCCCCCGTTTTTTCTTGAAGATCTTCAAGGAGAGAACCGATATATGTGTTCTTTAGACTGGAATCATTTACTCCAATTAGTTGGTAAAACCTCTGTGACATCCTGTAATGTCTTTCAATGTCAATCTTCTTAGGGAACAACACTTCATGTCAAAATATTCTCTTCTAACATTTTGGATTAAAAGAGTTTGATCTCTGAGGAAATGAAACTGCAGGCCCTTTATAACTTCTATAGAAGCCGATGGACACTTTCTTGATTTACTGTATGAGCCTGTCATACCATTCTTTTAGTATTCCAGTCATATTGACACAAAATTCTTCTATGATCTTATACTGATTAGCATCAACTTTGACCATCTTGGCATCGATCCATGCCTTGAAGTCTAGAAATCTTATAGCTGAGACAAGAGTATTTACTTCTAAATCTCTAGAATTATCAAATGTTGAATCTTCTTCTATCCCAGTTTTGAAAGATTTGCAAATTTTTCTACTTCATTTTCTGTTTGAACTTCATACAAATCTTCAGATGGGTTTTTTAAATCCTCTAGGTTTTGAATCAGACTAAATCAAGAACTGGTTCTGAGACAGCTAGGACCCCTTTTGGATTGGTTAGGGAAGAATTTGAAGATGCAAATTCAGTCTTTTGTTATGAAGACTCAGGAGAGAGTGATCTTGTAGGAATAAATTGCTCTTTTCTTTTCATACTTGGGGGGAAAAGCGGTATTAGTTGTGTCTGACTTTGTGTAGTTGTATTTGGGAAGATTTTTTAGGGCATACCAAAGTTTGAATCAAAGTCACACAAGAGATAATGGATTTTTCTCTCTCTTTTAGCGCATTAATTTGAGCTTAAGCATTCTTCAGGTCCCTTTCTTTCTTCAATAAAGTTACAATGAAAACCCTATTTTTCTTTATTTGATCCACTTCTTCACTCAGCTTTTCAAATTTTTCTTTTATCTGTTTATAGTGCTATTGTAATTTCTTCAACAATTTGCCTACCTCTTGTTCCAAGAGGTCAAACTTTTTGTCCATCTTTTTCGAAATTTCATTATGTGCCGAAGAGTTTTGTCTGCCAATTTAGCACTTACTTTGCTTGAGTGACTGGCTTCATATCCCCATCAAGAAATACCTCAGAGCTAGTAGTAATATAGGGTTTTGTTTGTACCAAAAGTGAGAAAGTTATGATCATAAGACAAAGAAACTGAAGAGAACATCATGTACGATTCTTGTGGAAGAGCCTTTGGAATATAGTTGTGGTTGTCTACCTTACAATTTGTAGGTGGAGGCCAAGTTATTAGCTTTGGATCTGGAGGAGGATAACCTTCTTCTCTTAACACCTTTAACCCCTTTTCTTATAAAGAGGTAAAGGTTTAGGATGAACGGTTGTCCATGGAGTGTTGTCAGGGTCAAACCTTCTTGGCTTTTGAGGTGGTTTGCAAGGAGATTTTGGTTTTTTTCTTTCTCCTTTTAGGTTCCTCTTGGATTTCATCATCACCGAAGCAGTTGTCTAAGTAACAATCACAATCTGAATCACATTCTTCAGGAGAAACATCCCAAATGAATTGTCCATTTAATTTGTCAGAATAAATAGCAGTTCCATCACTTCTAACATAGTATATTGGGATTTTTATTTTTTTTCCTTCCTTCCTTTTCTCCTAGGGTAATCATCTAGAAAAGAGTGGCCCTTGAGGAGGACTCATCTTTCTTTCTAAAAATGATTTACTGTCCCACTTTGCAGTCTCTTCATTATCAATTCTGTATCCATGACAGGCTGTTGGCTACTCTTGTATACCTCATATTACTCAGTAATTCTCTGGGAATCAGTTCTTCGATATCTTTTCTTGGAATCTGCTTTCGAATATGGATGATTGACGAAATATGATTTTGTGTTGGCAACCACCATCAGAGCATTTTTTGAAAGGTTTGAATTTGTGGGAAGATCAATGAAATGACCTTGGTGCCTGAAAATAATTTGATGTTTCAAGTAAGCAGGAAATGCAGTAGGCTCTTGTGGACCACCAAGTTGGACCTAAACTTTAAATCTCTTGGGCAGAGTGGGATCCCTTAGATGTACATTAAAATTTGGAAACATGGTCGAAACCACACTTCCAGCATTAAGGTGGTCAAGACTGTTCTTATAACAGCATGTTCATGTACTTGATAGGTAGAGTCTATTAAAGAGACTGTTGTTGTAACAGGAAGTCCCTTTTCTTCCATGAAGAGTGAGGATTAGTCTTACAGCACCCGTATGCAGAGCAATATAACCTTCCTGCTGCCAAAGTTTGATCAAAGATGGGTTTATCTCCAAGTTTACATTATTATTCCACAAATGTAGCATGATGAGCACACTTATCTAGTTATGTGGTCTGAATCATTTCTTTAACTCCTGGACGAGGGGTAAGTCAGTTTTTTTATTGATATTGTAAAATTAGATTTGTGTGGTCTGAAAACATATTATGGGCTAAGAGGAGTAATATCAGTTTCATTATGGGCACCTTCTGGAAGAGTAGAATGTTCTAAAAGATTTTCTATTGTAAAAGCTAGGAATTTTTTACAGGATTCTGGAATGTAGAGTTGAAACTTATGGCTTAAGGAACTAGATCTAGGGGGATCTATGATTTGTTCACTTTTTTGATTTGTAGTATTCTCCTTCCTCATCTTTATCTCAATCAAATAGAGAAAGGGTATAGTATTGAAACTTTACAACATTGCTAAAAGATTTGAAGTACTTTAAAATATATATATATTTGGAAGGTACATTTTAAAATTTTACGATAATTATATAGTTTAAGAATTTACAGGCAAAAATTTGGTTAGCGGTATGTTTAGTTTCCAATTTTTTAATATTATCTTAACAGTTTAGAGAGATTTAAATCAATCTGTAAACACCTACTGATCAAAGAATTGGCAAGACTTGCAACCCTAAACCCTGGCCTTCAGAAAGGCTAAAGAGAAAAATAAGTAAACATCAAGTCTTCCAGTGTGGCATACTTAACCGTCTGAAAATCCCCAATTTACAAACCAAAATGGAAGTCATGACACTACAAGGAATAAACGCTTATTTAAGCAAGAAAATCATCTCAATTCCAACGATCAACAATCTAGTTCTAACAGATTAAAAAAAAAGTGCACTGATCTAAATTAGAAGGCAATGATGTTTACAGGCAAGCGAAAAAGAGAAACTATTCAATATGAGAAATAAAAGGTCACATCAGTAAAATACAGAGGAACGGGTTATATCTAAATATGGTACAAAGTACAAACCTAATTTATAAAGCATCTATCATGGAAAAGGTGATAACTCAAACCAAATATCTACCTTAACTTAATCCGTAGAGACAGCTGACAGGAGAATCATGAAGATTAAATCTAGTTATTAATGCCCACGTGCCTCTAATTTCTGCACAGGTCAAATTATTTGCCCAACTAAATCATGCATCCTCGTCGTCGTCGTCATCATCTTTATCTGCATCACCGTCATTCTCAGCTTCTTCTCCTTCATCTTCCTCATCAGACATGTTATTGATTACATCTGTAATTATATCCTTCACCTCTGCTTTTCTATGCATTAAATCCAGACCAAAGTGGGTACCTGTCAACATTTTCATTACAAAATAGCTGCGTTCAAGATACCATTCCTTTCTTACTCAGAAGAGAGGGAATTTTGACAAGAAAAAGGTCGTACCAAGTTGCCTAAGGATATCAGACAAAGTTGCCTGCATCAAGTACAAAATTTTATGAACTAAGTATATTTAAAAACTCAAAAATCCAAACTAAAACGAATTGCCACAGAAGTATTACTTACAGTATTGAAATCAACTTCCTTCAGAATATCAACGACTACTGCATGCATGTCCTCCCTAGTAGGTTCTGTCTTAGACTTCTTATTACTTTTACCTTTCCCTACCATTGGCATCAGAAAGAAATGGGTGTGAGCAGGATTAAAAACAAGCGGACACAACCACATTTAATAAGAAAATCAAATTTTGAAAAATTACAAGTTTGTATAACTTGTTTTAATATAACAACATAATATTAGACGAAAATTGTGCAGAATGTTTGACAAGACAACTCAAGCAAAATTAATCAAAAGGTTCAAAAAATTAACTCTTGGGCAACCAGCAGACTAAGGCAAATGGCACTATAGTAGTACAGAACACATAATCATAAACATTAAGAGAGAATGCAGTCAATTCACCTTGATCCTTAACCAAAGCCTTTGAGGACTTGTCTGTTTGTTTTTTGCTGGCAGCCTTCCCCTTAGTATCCTTTTCGCTTACAGTTTTCAGTTTCTTGGATGCAGGTTGCTTTGACTTAGAAAGGGAAGCAGAAGCACTGTCATGCTCAGCAACACTCTTTTTTGAAGTTGACTTCTTCTGAGTTTTTTCAGTGCTCTTGGCCTCTTTTACAGAGGTCTTCTTGCCAGATGAGGCTCTATCTCCAGCTTTGGTCACTGAACCCTCCTTAACAATCTTTTTGGAAGTACGCTTGCAAGCTTTCGGTTTATCTTCCTCTTCCTCTAACTTACTTTCCTCATCATCACTTTCATTATTCAGCGCTGCAACATCTTCATCTTCCTGAGACTCATCTTTTGAATCTGAAAGTTCAGCTTTATCATCCTCCTCATCATCAGAAGACTGCTTTCGCTTTTTCCCAGACTGTGAAGTTTGTTTTAGCTTCTAGAGCAAGATAAAATATACAGCAAGTGATTAAATATAATAAAAAAAAGATTGAAGGATATCATTTGTTGCACTCTTGTAGTAATAAGCATATTTGCAACTCAAATCCCCCTTGGGAAATAAAAGGAAGATACAATTGAACAATAAAATATAAGAAGCCACAAAAAAAATGTAACTAATAAGCCACTACAATCAACATGGTTCTAATAGAAGTCAACCCAGCAATAGAAAATAGACATCCATATGAAAAGCTGATAAGGTGTCTTTGCATTAACAATTGACAAAATTCAGAAACTTAACAGATAATCAAGATATGTTGTTTATCTAAATTCAAAATCCACATTAACACATAAGATCAACTCAGCAACAACCATCAAGCGATAATAATTAATGCTTGAGTCACCAGATTCTCAATTTTAGCAGTCAAAACTAGCCACAAACACAAACTAACAACAAATGCAAAGCACTTGCAACTGAAGAAAACCAATAAAAATATTCATAAACTTTAACAGGTGCAATCACCCATCACCAACAGCTTCATCTTTTAGTTTCTAGACTCAAAATCCACCTTTGCAACAAATAACATAAATTAGAATCGCACGATTCTACAATCCTGAACCACCATGCCGTGCTGGCTCACAAGCAAGATCAAAGATTTGTACGATTTCGTGGAATTGCCATGCAAGATTGGTAGGCATGTGCCGTGTCTGTTTTAACTTTATTGTGTTTTAACCTGCAACCCATTTTTTTAACCCGATTGCTTTATAGTTGTCAATAGCACAGCGGTGCATGGCAGAGCAGCCTTCGGCTGCCACAGACCTGCCATAGTGGAGCATTTTTCTGTGGCAGACAATGCAGCTGTATTAGCAGCCATGGCAGCTTAACTTGCGGCCTTTCACAAAGCAACAGTGCCACTAGAGCAAAAATGTCGACTTTCCCTTTTAGGGTTTCTTAAGGGTAAAAAAGACTTTTAAAAATAATCTGACTTTCCCTTTTTGCCCTTAAAATGACCATGTTTTAAGTTTTTTAAGGGTAAAATAGTCTTCTTACCAATTTTTATAATACATCACCAAACCCATTTTCCTTCTCCCCTTGTTCTATTCTATGCCCCCTTCTCTCATCTCTTTCTTTGTTTGTTTTAAGTGAGCATGTCTCTGTCTCTGTTTTGAGGGTGGCTCCCTTCCCTTGTCTGTCTCTCATTTGCTTTCCTCATCTTCATATTTATACTATTTTACATGATACATACAATTTTGTAGGATTTTATAATCTGCGTTATGATCCTAAGAATTGCGATCTTGACCCCCTTTCCGGATCTCGATTTTGACTACCATGCACTGAACCAGAAGCATAATGTCATAACTCATGAAATTCATAATTAAAATTCCAACCACTTCAAAAATTAAACACTAACTTTTGAACTTATGCTAAGGGAAAAAATATTTTGAGTGATAGAATCAATTAGATTTAAACAAGCTTTAACAAAAATGTCTCCGTTACAACTTTACAAATAAACTTTTGCAAGCATTTACGGAAAAAGTGAAAACCAGGTGTAACAGGCCGTATGGACACTGATGGCAGAATAGACTAATATTTCCAAGGCAGAATGACATCAACTTCAGAAACAAACTATCAACACTAAACATGACTGACCAATAATGTAACATATAGCAAAAATTATTGCTATAAGATGACATATGCAAAATGCCTATTACATGATCACCTCTACAATTGCAATTCACAAAATATATTCAAATACTGACCATAAGGATATGATGAGACAATTACTAGCAAAAAAACATGTCATATTATAGCCCTATTAAAACCAAACTCTAGATCTATTATACAATTAACTGACAGTCACAAGTGCGAAGATACTAAATCATCACCAAACATGCAACTTGAAGAAGGAACATTCATAGTCATGATTTGATGCTAAAGATTGCCCATTAAAGATTAGTGCATAACAGATATAGCAAGTCAGAATGATTTCAGCACATAGTAATTAAAAATTACCTTGGCAGGTGTTTCTGTAGATGCTTCACCAGGAGATTTGATTGGAGTTACCTTTCTGGTTCGTTTTTTACCTTTCTGTTAACATAGAAGCAAGCTTCAAAAAACTAATCACTCAAAATAAAAATAAGAAACAAGAACAGAAAAAAAAGGAGCAGAATATTAATACATCAGGTTAGGATCATAGTTGTTAATCTCCTATAGCGGAAAATGGCGGCTGACCCCTAAAATGCTATAGTGGAATATGTATAGTGGGATGACTGCTCTTTAAAAATTTATAATATGCATATAAATAAGAGTAACCAGTGAACAGAAAAACAGAGCTTTCTCTCCTTCAGCAAACAAAACAGTGCTTGAAGCAAGAGTGACAAGTGAATAGAAAAACAGCAGAAAAACAAAGCTTTATCTCCTTCAGCAAACAAAACAGAGCCTGAAGCAAGCATGATAAGTGAACAGAAAAAATAAAGGAGACGCTGGAAAAGCTGACTTTTCTGGTGAACAGAAACACAAAGGAAATACCGGAAAAGCTGATTTCTCTAGTGAAATGGAATGGATGAACCGGTGAAGAAGGGAGAAACCACTATGATGAGGCCCCAACTTTTCGTGTAGAGGCAGAGTGTGGGAAGATGAAATCAATATATGTTTTATAAAGGGTAAATAACCTCTCTACCCTTAAAAATAATTAAAACACTGCGTTTTAGAAAAATCAGAATAGGGTTTCTTGCTTTCCCAATTTTGCACAATCGCATACACGAACTTCTCCCTTTTCTGGCCACGAATCCCCACAATCGCCACAACATGACAAACACCCCACGACATGGTGGCCCCAGCGCAATAGCAACGCTATAGTGCGTTATTAACAACTATGGTTAGGATCTATTGACTCTTAAGACAAGACACATACATTTACTTCATAGAAAGTTCTCATTCATCCAATTGTGGAATTAAAGTGTTCATCCCAAGTACCCAACATCACATGATGAATATTAAATAACAATTGGATTCTAAGAAGTGTTCAATCACATGCGATTTTCACTTGTCTTTGAAATGCATATAACATGTTAAGTTTAGGATACTTGGTTGGACTAAAACAATTTCAAACTAACAAAAATAGGACAATGCTGTGTGAGAAGTGCTTTCAATATCAAAGAAATAGTTCAACCAATGAAATGATATGCAACAATGCAGATTATTTATCTATGTTACAACTTGAAAAAGTGTGAATTGATTATAATAATCTATAAAGAATAAACCTGCTCTTTTTCAGCAAGCAGAATATCAGTTGTAGCATGTGGGGACTCCAAAAATTCCAACAACTTTGCAGACAGCTCCTCCTGAAAGCATGTCTCATTTAATAATTTCATTTCAAAACAGTACTTAGACTCTCTTCTCAAAGGGAAATATTTCATATTAATCCTTACCTTCTTCACGTTGGCCTTGTTTATCTGAATATTAAGAACATCACAGAAGTCCAACAACTTTTCTTTGACACATTTGTCAATCCTCTCTTTTACCTTAGCCCTCTGTTTTTCCTGCCAACATTTATAAGGCCAGCAATTTCCAATAGTGGGTTAATTATAGCCTCAGACACTTGCATTATTGTGAAAAGAGAACATGGACCAAAAACCACATGAAAATTCATCTAGAGAGAAATGCTAGCAACACACTCTTCCCAAAAGACTATTATGGGGTGAAACTTACATGGATACTTTTAAATAACAAGTCCTGCTCTGTACATAATGAGTCTCACATGAATTTCACCAAATAGTAAAAAGCAAATGAGAAAGAGAGTTTGGAGAGTGTGTAGCTAACACTCCTTTTGGCCTGAATAGTTACAAATAGAAGATAGGCAAAATACAGTAACTAACACAATGGTACCTCATTTTCAGTCCATACATAACCAGAAAACTGGCCTATATTTCTTTTTAAATTGTGTGCCTGCAAATCATTTAGAATTACCAAAGGTGTTAAAGGGTCCATGCATTAAGTGACCAAAACAACATAATCTAAAGAACTTTACCTTTGTTTTCTTCCCAAACAGTAAACTATGAAGCATGTGCAGGTTGTCATCAGGTTTTCTCTTAGACAACTTGAAAGCCACTGAAACAGTTTATACATAAATAACTTGATTGGGCAACACTGATGTAGAAAACAAATAAAGAAAGAGGTAAACAATCCATTTCAAAATCTGCAAAGATAATATATTATAGCAACCAATACCAAACCAATATTGCAGCTAAAAGATAAATCAAAATCATTACATTAAGTTTCAACTACCTCACTAGTTTGACACCAATGCAGTGAATAATAGTGGCAAAACTTTTTGGCACACATCACTTAGAACGCTTCAAGTTTACAAGTTACAGGACCAAGGCCAACCAGAAAGAAAACAAAACCCATCAACAGTAAGCAATGTATTTCAATCAACGTTTGCTATATGTAGGGACTTGGGAGAAAGCAAGAAGAAAACAGGAAGGCAGTAACAATTATAAAGGCCTCATTAAGAAATTAAGTTGATTAATATTCTCTATGCCACAATCAAGACCTGATTTAGCAATCAAGCCTTTGTTTTTTCATTACAAATTCTGTCAGCGGAAAGGAAGAATTTTAGCATATACAAACAGGCTACAAATCAGACAGCACTGAATGTAAACAGGCTTCCAAAACTGACCACAAGAATATATATCTTCATGTTTATAGCTCAGTTCTACCTGAATTCAAAACAGGAACAACTACCCCCATCTAAGAAACTCCATATTGAGGGAGCACGAATCTAAAAGCCCTATAGCCATGTATATTAAAATCATTGAAACAGGAACCAGCCTAATCATTATTAAATACAACAAAATTATTAAAAAAAAAACGCAAAAATATGAAAAACATAGTGAGAAGGGAAACACAATCAACAACAAGTAATCCACGACAGCACTTCAAAATGCAATTGCTGAAACTCCTGACCTAACCATGCGATGTCTCTAACATTATATACAACTTGACCCAGAAGTTACTAGCAAGTAAAATTCAGCATCCTGATTTTAAACATTTCAATTTTGAAAGCAAACACGGATCGCACAAATCACAAACCAGGCTACAACAACAGTGAGAAAACGGAAAAAGCAATTGCGAAAAGCAACTAAACCCACCGTTCGGTATATCCTTGAGCTGCGTGCCACGACCCTAAAACACAGAGATCCGAACAATCAAAACAGGAACAATTCACTCGAGTCCCAAACAAAAAAAAAATGCAATTTCACCTTTTCAATCGTGAAAGCTTTACTAGCAGAGGACCTTGCAGACTTTGCAGGCGAGGGTACAGAGTAACGTTCCACAGTTTTCCTCTCTCTCGTTGGCCTCTCGCTTGTGGGAGTAACTGGATCCTTTTTACCCTTCTTCGCCGACGCAGTTTTCTTCTTACTCTTCTTCGTACTCTCTTTACTACGCCCCTTGGCCTTGCCCTTCTTACCTTCTTCAGCTTCTTCTTCTTCCTCCTCTTCTTCTTCATTGTCCTTCTCCTCGTCTTCGTGTTCGTCGGTGTCTTTCTTCTCATCAGCTTCCTCTTCTACTTCCATATTGCTCGCTCCGTCTTTGTCGTCGACATTCTTGTCCTCGGATTTCGCGACTTCCGAGGAAGCGTCTTTCTCGGAAATTTCCAAGTCTTCGGGGTCTTGTTTGTTGGGTTGGGATTTAGGGTCGGGAGGTGCGTGGTTGTCGTCTTTGTCTTGAGGTGGTGGTTTGTTGTCTTCTAGGGTTTCGGTGGCCATTTTTGGCGATTGGGAACCCTAGAGGGAAGAGAAACCCTAGAATTGGAAGGAATAGAATCGGAGTGATTGGGAATGGAATTAGAGGAGAGAGAAAGGTGGGAATCGCTAAATGAAATGAAATGAAATTGGAGTTAGGATGAGATGAGAGAAAGGGCGCGCTGGAGGGTAAAAGTGTTGGTGGTTTTCAAAATTTGATGCCAAATTTGTGAGCGGGCCTCAGCCTCAGCCTCAGCCTCAACGCTCACTCTCACTCCCTCACTCACTCACTCACTTCCCTTTCTTTTTCTTTTCTCCCGGCAAAACAACTTAACAAAAATCAATAGAAATTAAGAATTAACAAAACCCCACCTTGCTGTAACGTGCAATGGAGGCCTTCCTCGTGAAATTATTATTATTCAATTCTGCGATTTTGCACTTTGAAATTGAAACACTGAGTCAGCCCTTCGTTATGGGCTAATTAAGGTATCATGAGTAACATGGCGGGCCTTCAGACTGCATCGTTTGGATGAACGGGCCATAAATTCTAGGATTTAATTCGGCGAGTCCAAAGAGCCATGGATAATAAATGGAGAAACAAAATAAAAGAAGAGAAAGATTTATTTGTCGCTGACCCAAAAGAGATTTATTTGTGAATTTCCTATACAGAACTCTGAGTTTAGTTTATCTTCTGAGCATGCGTACTTCCAGCTGATTGGTTTTGTGTGTTAGTACTGCAGCAGTTCTCTACCTTTGGGCTTTGCCTTGGCCCGCTGGTTGCTTTTGTAATAATATTGTTAAAAATAAAAAGGAGGCGGCTCAAGCCTGTTTTATAGCATGTCTAAACTAGACCTATCAAATATGCTCAATTTATCACATTCACTTATGACCCATGTGAGTCAAGGTTAAAACAACCCATATAAAGTTCACCTGACGTGAAGTACACAGGGTTAGAAAGCCCAGAAAGTAGGTTAGAGTCAATTTATGAGCCCGAACTTAGTTCATAGTTAAATCAAGTTATTTAGCATTTTAGCTCACTCTATGCATTGTTTAGCTCCCTTCCAAGAAGATTGCAACTAGAGCGAATTTTAAACTGTTGAGTATGTTATTGATAATCGAAGTCAATCGCTATCCATCTAGATAAAAGTGAAACATCTACTGTGACCTAAGACCATTATCAATGGTGGTAGCTTAAAATGTTCTTTCAAATAAGATACCTTTTCTTATACAAAACTAGCTTTAGAGATGCATTATGGGGCAATTTATAGAGACAACCGTTTCTTATACAAGCAACAATTCTAAATTTAACAAGGTGCTTGCTCCGTGCCTTGACATTTGTTACAGCATGGCATATCTCTCTTCGGGAGATCAATTAGGTTATGTTTAATTAATTTAATAAATGTAATATTTATTTCTATAATTCATTATTAATGCAAAAAGGTCCCTTAAATTTTTTAAATGCAAGAAGGTTAATTTAAATCTTCCCTTACAATGGAGAAGGAACGCGCATTAAGGCTACAACAAACTCAGACATTAGAGTTGATACTCTGTCTCACCCAAAAGCTATTTTTTCATACAATAATCTTGGACAACCAGGCTATCCACTAAGTAAAGGTAAAGCGCTTACAAAGGGAGGATGCAGTTGAGCTTGTCAACATACATCTAGGATACAATCAAGAGGGCTCCTTGGTGATGAATTATGGTATATTCAAATCCAGCAAAGCATCTATATTTTAGGGCTATATGCATATTTTATAAAGCATCTTTTTGTTAATGATTCGATAAAGTAAATAAGGAGATAAGCATCATAAACCCAATTATATAAAACAATATAAAAGTATCATTGAAAACTCACTTGAAAGAAATTGTAGTGGTAATAAGAGAAAATCAATTGGAAGAAGGGAAACTCTAGTGCAGTAGTAGCGATGGAAGACGACAGTGAAGATAAGGTTTAAACAAAAAAAACTAATTTGAAATTTGAGAAGAGAGTGTTATGATATAATATTAACTTTCAAATTTCAAATTAAAGAGTCATGAATAATAATTAAAATGTGTCTCTAAAGATTAATGAGAAAACAAAATTTTTATAATTCTTTAAATATAAAATTTTTTATAAACTTTTTAAGGAAAGTATTGTATGCCCCTCAATTTTCAGGACATGTTATATTTTACCATCTAACAAAATGAGGCCAATGTTGTAAAGGTTAAATAAACTCTCACTTCCTATCCTTAAATAACTCAGTAGCACTGGTATTACCAATGAACTTGAATGAAAAGAGGCAAAGCATGTTAGATTTTATTCTATTATGTAATTTCTAGCTTTAATTTTATCATTATGAAATTACTATTCCCATTAATTTTGAATTCTATAGTTCTCGCAATAATATATAGTTCTTATATAATTAAAGGTTTAGAAAGTATTAATTTGAATCTATTATTTTTTTATGTTACCTAGCTTTAATGTTGTTGAGCCCTTGGTATTTTTCTCAACTCTTACTTCCTCTTTTCTTATAGTTGAGAGAAAAAAAATTTTGTGATTATCGTGAAACTGTAAAATAGTATTAGAGAATGTCATAACTAGACATGGAAATATGCTAATTTAAACTTTGCATAAATAGATATGACCTATCTAATAACTTTGAAGCATAAGTTTGACTTATTATCTATTATAAGTTTTTTATTAAGCCTAACCTAACATTTTTAAAAGTCTAACTTGCCCTATTAGTCTTTTTAATGACCTACTTCATATCGAGACTTCAATAGGTTATTAAGTTTTTTTATGAATAAACTATTACACTATCTAAATAGGTATGTTTTTCAAAAATCATAAGGCTTATATCTAAATAAATTATTAAAAAAATATATAATATAAACAATGCACAAGACTGTAAGAAGATATGGATGAGATGAGACGAATTAGTGATAGACATAATCGAGACAACGTAACATAAATCAGTGTTATGTGTATAGGATATGCAAAAAAAAATCTCTAGCAAACAGAGCTCTCTCTTAGAGAGTATGTAGTAGAGACATTCTTCAATTCTAACGAAAAGGATTAGGGTTTTAATTTAATATTTTATTTTAAATTTAATTAATTTAATATATTATTATATTATTTTTGTATAAATTATTTAATATATTATTATAAATTTTAAATAGGCTATTCTAATAGGTCTAATAGGTTTTTTCTTAAGTTTAAGTTTGGTCTATTTAATTAATTAAGCTTTTTTAAAAAGTTAAATTAAGTCTATTAATTAAATAGGTTAAGTCAGGTTAGGCTTTAAATAGGTTAGGCCTTAAGCTCTTGTCGGATGGTCTGGCCTATTTCATCCCTAGTCATAACCTCTATTTGGTTACTGCTCTTTTATTTTTATATAAGGGAAGAGTTTCTTTATAATTATATTTACAATTATACCCTCAATGACTCTATTTTATGTTTAACCACCATCACATTAAATCATTAATTAGAGTCATACTATGAGTTATATAAGTCACTATATGTATTATTAAAATAATCTAACAATCTCTCACTTAACTTGTATGACGACTTGAAGATTCAATGAACTGTAAGTACATATATCATTGAAATAATCAAGTTATCGTCTTTAATTGAATTGAGTTTATTGGATCATGACGATCACAAGTCATCATGTGTCATGATTCCTTTCAAGTATTACAGAACCAACTCAAATCAAATAACTTAAATAAGTCATACTACATATTGCATCTTCGATGTGTAACTGTTATCAACTTAAACTATGGATATACATAACACAATTTATATAACAAGTGAATAAATAAAAATAATACTTTTATTAAATTCTCAAAATGTCTACAATAATATGAGCAAAATTATTCATCCATACATACAAACATATATATATATATATATATATGTGTGTGTGTGTGTGTGTGTGTGTGTGTGTGTGTGGAAATCACATGCTCATGCTAATAAAGACTTGTCTGTAATACTCATTCTTCCAACATGGCTAGAAAATGTTTTAGGGGACAATCCCTTAATTAGCAAATCCGTTATCATTAGATCAATACCAATATGTTCAATAAACACTTTCTATTTCTGCACTTCTTCTTTCACACACACACACATATATATATATATATATAAAGTCATGTGATTTGCTCTCTTTGAGTACTTATCGTTCTTAGAGAAGAAGATAATTGCAGAATTATCACAAGACATTATTAGCGACCATTTTTATACTGTCAACAATACCAAACCTTAATACAAAGTTCCCACAGCCACAAAGCATGAATAGTGGCCTCAAAGCATGTCACAAATTCCGCCTCCATGGTAGACACAACAATAATTGACTCATTTTCGCTCTTCCATGAAATCGCACCTCAAGCTAACAAGAAGATGTAGTCAAAGGTCAAATTTCTCGAGTTTACACACCTAGCATACTCTGAATCTGAGTAGCTAACTACTTTCAGGTAACTAAATCTCTTATAAGTAAGCATGTAGTCTTTGGTGCCTTGTAAATACCTAAGGACTTTCTTTGCAACCTTCCAATGGTCTATTTGGAGATTACTTTGATATCAGCCTAACATTCCAACAGCAAAACTGATATCTAGTTGAGTGCATGTATGAGCATACATTCAACTCGCAACCATTGATGCGCAAGGAATAAATTCTACTACTTTCCGTTTCAACTCATTCTTGGGACATTGCATTTCACTAAACTTGTCCCTCTTTTGAATTAGAACCACCCCTGAATAAGCAATTTTTTATTTTGAATCTCTTTAAGACTTTGTTAATGTAGCATTTATGAGACAATCATAGTAATCCTAGTGATCTATTATAGAATGTTTCTATTCTAATCACATAGGATGTCTTACCTATATCTTTTATCTCAAAGTTCTTAAAGAGAAACTCATTTACATCATACGACAACGCAACATAATTAATAGCAAGAAGAATATCAACATACAAGATTACAATAATGAACTTGCTCCCATTGACCTTCATGTAGATACACCAGTCAACAGTGTTCTTTATAAAAACATATGACGTGATGGTATCATTAAACTTAAGATACCATTGTTGAGAAGCCTATTTCAACCACATATTGATTTCTTTAACTTACACACCAAACGTTTTTTTTCCTATGGTCAATAAATCATATGGCTAATCCATATAAACATTCTCTTCTAAGTCATCATTCAGAAAGCGGTCTTTACATTTATTTGGTGAAACTCTAAGTCATAATGAATCACTAAAACTATAACAATTCTTAAAGAGTCATTTTTTGAAATTGGAGAGAAGGTTTCTTTATAGTCAATGCCATCATTTTGAATATACCTTTTAGTAACAAGTCTAATCTTGTATTTTTCAACTTTGTCTTTTGAGTCACATTTGGTCTTAAAGACCTACTTGCAACCAACTTATTTTGAACCTTCAGGCAACTCGACTAGATCCTACACCTTATTGTCACTTATTGATTTTAACTCTTCTTTCAAGGCATTTAACCACCTTTTAGAGTTGTTACATTCCATGACTTGCTTAAATGAAACTAGATCCTCATCAATACTCAAATAAGTAAATCACATAATCATTTGAAATAAATGGTTTTTTTTTCTGCCTGCAAACATTCTTAATGTTATTTCTTATAGTTCACCTTCCTTTTGCTTGTTTGTGACATGTGCATTGTCAGTTGGTGTATCATTTATACAATGTTCTTGTGGGTTTGGAACATTAACGTGTTTCTATATGTTGTGTTACCGTGATACAACGAAAGGGACAACAACTTGAGAAGAGATACTAACTATAAGAGTTTTTGCTTGTGTCTCTTTAATTTTCACCTTTCGTATTTCATCACTTTCACTAAACCAACAATTTTCAATGGATCTTACATTTTCAGACTCAACTATTCTCATACTATGTTAGGACAGTAAAATTTATTCCTATTTGATTTCTTAGGATAGCCAATGAAATAATCACTAATGGTTCTAGCATCAAGGTTCTTTTCATATGAATTATACACTTTTATTTCTGCTGGACAACTTGAGACATAAAGATGTCTTAAATTGAGTTTCTTTCCTGTTCACAATCTATAAGGAGTCTTTGAAACTGTCTTACTTGAAACTTTGTTAAGCAAATACACAACGGTCTTTAATGCATATATTCACAAAGACATAAGTACAGAACTGTAACTCAACATACTCCTAACTATTTTCATGATAGTATAATTTTGCCTTTTAGTTATACCATTTTGTTGTGGTATACCAGACATAGTATATTGTGCACATGTGCCTCAACTCTCTATAAGTTAAATGGACCTATACATTGTTCACTTTCATCATATTTGCCATAATATTCACTACTCTTATCTGACTTCACAACCTTTACTTTTCTATTTAGTTATTTTTTTACCTCATCAATAAATACATGTAAGACATTAACTGATTGAAACTTTTCATGCAACATATACATGTACAAGACATTCACTTATTTTATTCTCAGTTCTTGTACATAGGGAATAAAATGAAGGCACGAATAGCAAAAATAGAGAATTACATATTGATCTTACATTTTTAATTTTTAATAAAATATAATTTTTATTTATTATAAATAAAAATAATTATAACATAATATATTAATATAATAATAATAAAATTAAAAATAAAAAAATATTAAAATTATTATTATTTTATTTTTAAATTTTAATATTTTAAGTTTAATTGTGTTCTGATCTTATTTAAAGACTTAAATATTATTTAATTTATTTAAATATAATAAATATAATAATTTATTATTTAAATATATGCGTAAATATTATTCGGTATAATTTTTTATGCAGACGATATAAAATTTTTTAAGAGTAACTCCGAATGTACCTTATAATAATATTTCAAAAAAGGGAGATAATAAAGATTTGGTTGTACTACACAAGTCCAATTCCTTGAATACGCAAAGGGTTTGAATATCTATACTACGTCGTTGATAAGAAAATCTAGTAGTAGTGTCTGCAGGTAACTTCCAAGTTCCTAGAAACAGCTCAACCATATTTGGGTGAGACGGAGCCTGCGGCATGGAAGTGACGAGAGACCCCAATTCAAACGATTCAGACTCAGAACTCGAACTCTACACAATCCCTAGCTCTTCCGGTAAGCTCTCTGTTTTGTTTTCCTATCTAAACCCCAACTCACCCCACCGACTAACACTCCAATCTCAACCTAACTGACGTCGTTTTGGCAGGATGGTTCGCGTGGGACGAAATCCACGAAACGGAGAAAACGGCTTTCAAGGAATTCTTCGACGGAACCTCGATATCTCGAACGCCGAAGATATACAAAGAGTACCGAGACTTCGTCATCAACAAGTTCAGAGAAGAGCCTTCGAGGAGGCTCACATTCACCGAGGTGCGAAAATCGCTGGTCGGTGATGTCACGTTCCTGCACAAGGTCTTCCTCTTCTTGGAAACCTGGGGTTTGATCAACTACGGCGCCCCTTCAGGTGCGGATGCGGAGAAGGAGGAGGAGGAGGAGGGGGAAGAGAGATGCAAGGTTCGCCTCGATGAAGGGGCTCCCAATGGGATTCGCGTCGTGGCCACGCCGAACTCGTTGAAACCCATGTCTGTGCCTCGCAGTACCAAGAGTGGTGGTGGTGGCAATGCGAGTGTTGGGGCTTCTATCAAATTGCCGCCTTTGGCGTCCTACTCGGATGTTTACGGCGATTTGATTCGGCAGAAGGAGTTGAATTGTGGCATTTGCGGTGAAAAATGTGGTTCTGGACACTACCGAAGTAACCAGGTTACTTTTTGTTTTAATTTTTTTGCATTTTAGATTTTATTTGTTATCATGTTGCGTTTAGTAATAGATGTTGTTGTTGTAGATGTGTTGTATTTCCTCTTTCAGTATTCTTCTGAGCGATTGATATCTTAAAGAAGGATTAGGTCTTCAATAGAAGAACAATAATCATATTTAGTACGAATATGAATTCGTACCTAAGGAACTCTTGAATTTGATTGGACAATAAACATTAACAACTGTTCTTACTTTTTGATTTTTTTCCCAATTAACAGAAACCATGTGTATTTGTACTAATTTGTGTAAAAAATGTTTGAACTAATTAGCAACGATGACAAAAGAATGTCATTTGAAGATGGAAATTGGTCACTTGGGCTTAGCTCTGGTGGTTTGGGTTTCGTAGTGACTTTGATGGATAACAGAGGTTGTACATTTAAGACTTTATATATCAGTGATCAGTTCTCATCTAACATTTTGTGTCAGATAGTGTTTGTAGTTACTTTGCACTGGGCATTTTGGTATTTCTTGGGGTTGGAAGAAAGGAATAAAAATGAAGTGAAAGGAAAGAGGATGAAGGACTGAGTTTTGTTCCTCCTGTATGGATGTTTAAAATCTTCCAAATTGAATGACTTTGTTGTTCATAAAAGTGAAAAAGGGGAATGCATGATAATCCTTCATTTTAAATACTCCAAAATGAGGGGATTTATTTTATTCCCATCTCCCCCGACAATTCCTTAGCGATTTATTTAGTGGTTGCTAAGCTTGTGAGTGGTGAGTCAACATGTTTACTTGGATGAGTTTACATTTCCACTTAGGAAAAAAGAGTTAAATCACATGAAAAGTCCTTGGTGAACAGACTTGGGTGGAATTGAGTCAGGTTAACTCACGTAAATGCCCAATTCCATGGGTGAGTTTAAGAGTTTGTTGGACTAAAACTAAATTAAGAAAATAAAATGGACTATTAAATAATTTACTGAAAGTTATTGACTAATTTACTACTAAAAAAATTATTCATTTTATGATAGGAGAGTATAGATTTAAATAGAATAATTTTATAGATATGATATATGTGGGTAGAAGGCCCCGTATCTTGGAAGACCAAACGTTAGACTTCTGTATCATTTGGCTCCTTCACGGAAGAAATTAAGAGATGAGAGATGCGAACAAATAAAATGATCCATAACATCTATCTACAACAGCCTGTCTGCATGAATTTAATCACCTTGATATTTAGATGATCCTTATGGACGAGGAGCATAATAACAATCTGTTTTTTGTTTATTTCCTGTGGTTGCTTTGTTCTTTATTGAAATTAGACTATTTTTAGGAAAAGAATAAAATGTTGATCTATCTATTAAACTAAAGCATTGTTATTAGTCTTGAATAATGACATGTATCGGCCCCCTAAAACACTAATGTGATATTGTGCATAGCTGGATAACCGCTATTCTGAATTTTTTTATATGAATTGCATAATTTATACAATATACATATAAGTGCATAAAAAGTTAAAATGAATACTCAAAATTTTTTACATATTCATAAATACAAATAAAAAATCATTAATCTTAAGGAAAACATATAAGTAAATAGCAAGGAGAGAACTTGGGCATAATAATGAGTTTGGGTCTTTGGGAGACAAATGACACAAAAAACACTTAGACTTGAGAGATCAGAAAATTAGAACAAGGATAGAACTCACGATAAAAAAACAAAATAAATAAATAAATAGAAAGTTCGGAAACAATAATACAAAGAAAAAGAGAATTTAAAAAAAAAGAGGACATGGAGAGAAGAAGAGCAACATGTGGGACAGTGAGGACAAAAGGGAACGCAGGGCACTTGGCTGAAAATGCAGAGTCAGTGGAAAGAGGGCATGGGTTTCCCTGAATAAGTCAGGTGCTGATCAGAAAATATCAGGTCCTGGCTTGAAAATTGCCAAAGAGCAGTGGGTTGATGAATCACATAGTTACACAGGGTCATAGAGAAGAGAGAGTGCAAAAATGAGAAGAGGAATGAAGGATTTGTCTTTTCTCCCAAAACCTTTTGAAACCCATTTTATTTTTGACTTGAAAACCCCAAAATATCCCCAAAATAAACATTAAAATTTTGGGCATATTTCAGTTTTTGAATGTCTTTAGGATAGCAGCCCAACTGCTGGCAATACACTATCTTTTTTGCCACTAAAGCCGCTGTGACAGTCATAGACTATTGTGCTTGACAACCTTGATCTTGGAATAATTTTTTTTAACTTGTGCTTATCGCAACAAAAATATGAAGTACAAAATAAAATATAAGTAGTTTTCTCTTTGGGCTATCGCTTGAAATTTGCAAACCATTTTCATCTATATCTTCTTTTGTTTTCCTTACCTTTATTAAAGCCATATCTCTTACATAATTTTGCAACACATATAATGTATATTGCATTCATCTGTTCATCTGTCCAAATAGTGCTTGCTGCTTCTTATTATGTTGCTTTCCTTTTTTGAAAATGGAGTTTATTGATTTCATTTAACTCCCCTTTGTTCACTGAATGGATGCTGACACACCACCTTTGAAGTTAGATTTAGGAGATATTGTCACACTTATCTTCTTATATCTTGGCAGGATAATTTCATTATTTGTACAAATTGTTTCACTAATGGAAATTATGGGGAGAAAAGGTCTGCAGAGGATTTTGTATTAAGTGAGTCAACTGAAAATAATGGCAAACATGGTACTGTCTGGACTGAGGGAGAAACTCTTCTCCTTTTAGAGTCTGTTTTGAAGCATGGGGATGACTGGGACCTTGTTGCTCAAAGTGTTCAAACCAAGACTAAACTTGATTGTATCTCAAAACTCATTGAGCTGCCTTTTGGGGAGCTCATGTTGGGCCCTGCTCACAGAAATGGTAACAATAACAGTGCTAATGGCATTATGAACAATGCAAAACAAGTTCAGTCATCTTCATCTGACCACCAAGAAATTTCAAAGACGAAGGATCAATCTCCTGATGATCTTACAAATGAAAATGAGCAGAATGGAGATGCTATGCAAGAAAGTCCTTCAAAAAGACAACGTGTTGCTGCCCTTTCAGATTCCAGCACTTCGCTCATGAAGCAGGTGAGAATCTTGAATTTTATATCCTTATGTTATAAGCATAACATACCTAGTATGGTTTTCCAAATGTGATTGCATTTCCCTTGTTGCTGTTTGTTGTGGAGTTTTGTCTTAAGTGTACCATACCTAGATTTTGGGAAAGACTCATGTCTGTGGAGATGCTTCTTTGGTTGCCAGTTGCCATGACATCTCTAGTATAGATTGACCAGGGAAAAGAACATGTGATATCATTTGAACCTTATCCATTACAATATCTTCATTTTGGTTGGCTGTATTCTTTTTCCTTTCTTTTTTTGTTTAAATTTTTTGGAAGGAGAAGGGGGTTGAATCAGTTATTTGCTTTCACCTTCATTGCTATGACTGTGATTTAATCGTGTTTTGAATTAGGTGGGACTGATCTCTACTGTGGTTGACCCTCATATCGCAGCTGCTGCAGCTGATGCTGCTGTTTCAGCACTTTGTGAAGAAAACTTGTGTCCAAGGGAGATATTTGATGTTGAAGAGGACTATGCTTCTCATGTGAACTCTGTGAATAGTTATTCAGAAAGGTCAACCATAAACCTATAAGTTTACATTCATTTATCCTTCAGATTTTGCTAGACAGTAACTTACTCTTAAATTGAGCCTTCTCTTAATTCAATCTTTATACTTGCTATTATGTGTGTCAGATCCCTTGAGGGTGAAGGTTTAGATATGGAGAGGTCCACTCATTCAGGTATTTTTGTTTGTTTGTGTATAAAAATCATATTATGATATTTCTTTTGACAAGCTCTATAATTTTTCAAGTAGATTTGAGTGTGGCCCAAAATTTATCTAGGTTCTTAGAAACACATGAAACAAAAAATTATTGCCCCCCTCAATTGTAAGTTATATAGATAATGATGATGTTGATGATACTTGGCTTTATTTTTCTTTATAACTTTTGCATGTTAGACTTCTCAATACTTACAATACTAGATTAATTTGTCATTTATAGGTAGATATTTTGTAGGAGACTATCTTAGGAGGGCAATGGTTACTCAATGGTGAGCTCATTTGCCATATTTTAAGAGGGACAATCTTAGACTTTCGCTCTCCTTATATATGTCAAACAGGGGCAAAAGGGCAAGTTTTTTCTCCCTTCTTGAAAGTTGGAATGCTTTTTAAGAGGGTTAATCTTGGGATTTTGCCTCCTTTTTATATTTGTGAAAGTTGGAAACCCACCTCTGTCTCGAACCCTCCATCTCTGTTCATTCGTTTTCTTGCTTCGTCCTTCATCTCCAGCGTCACTTTCTAGTGCAAGTCACTATTTTCCGCCAAGTTCCAATCGTTGTTTTCATTTCCAGCAAAATCCAACTTATTTCTAACTTTGAGTAGAGACATTTTCCAGTGGTTTTCTTCATCTCCGGTGTAACCCAAGCTATTTCTGACGAAATGCAAACTTTTTCCGATGATAGTGAGACATTTTTAGTGAGCGTTAGAGCTTTTTCCGGTGATTAAACACTACACTCTTTGATCTATTTTCCTTCTCTATTTTGATTGTCTTTATAATAGTGGTCATCCTGCTATCCTGTTGTAATGGTTTTGGGTTCAGCTGCACCGTGATGCTATCTGAGATTGACTAAGATTGACTACTATGTTATTCTTGAAGGCAGCTAAAAACACTCTCTTAGATGTGCATTTAGAATTTTAATGGGATTAAGGACCTAGAAGTTCCTCAATTAGCTAAGCCCACAGCCCCAAACCCAAGGTCCTATGAGTATATTCTTGCAGGCCTAAAGCATCAATGGCTGTTTAGAAAGTGCAGAATGGGTTAGTAAGGAGGATGTGATGATGTAAGGGAGTTAGTTAGATAGAGAAGGTGAATCTGATTTAAAAGGGAAAGGATGGTTTAGGTGGGATTATGATGCAATTTTCTACTTTTCTCTAAGCACATAGCTTGGGCTATGAGAAATCCTTCATAGCTGGGAGCATTCTGCTTTTTTCTCTATCTATTCCCAGTTCTTCCAGATAGGAATCATTCCTGTTAGATATTCAGTTACCCATTTTACGGTGAAGGTTGCTTACTTTAAAATGAACTAATAAACTTGAGGATGGAGTGGAGAAAACTATATAGAAAATGGGGATAGGAAGGTGACTGGTTTAAAATAATAATATCCAGAAGACACAAAAAAAAGTGGAGGGTTAAAAATAATGAATAAATATTCTAAGGCTAAGTGTGCTAATTTACAACTTGATCTTTCCTTGTTTTTACTTTCCTGTTTCCTTTTACTGTGGGGACATTTATGGGCATGGTTTAGTATTTTTCTTGAACAAATTTTATTGTGATAATGTTGAGAAATTACATTGTGAAATATTGATTTCTGGCTGTGATTATTTTGAAGATTTAGTATGGCTCCCCCAATTGTAACATTTATTTATGTTGTCACTGGTCCTTTGCTTATACCAAAGTTGGGTTTGCTTCTGACATGAAAGATATAGTGCTTTATTGTTTTTTTTTAAATGAATAACAACATTCATTTATCCTATTTTTTTGGTATCTTTAGTACGTGTATGTGTGTGTATTTGCGAATAAACACTGGTCATGAAGTATTGCTGCTTATCACCTTTAATGTGAGTTTACCCTCGCAGAAGTGGATGACGGATGGTCGAAGGATGGCATACCATTGACACTGCGTGTAAGAGCTGCCATTGCAACTGCTCTTGGAGCTGCTGCTGCTCGAGCAAAGTTGCTGGCAGACCAGGAAGAGAGAGAGATTGAGCATTTAGTTGCAACTATAATTGAAGCACAGGTTCCCTAGTTCATAATTTTTTTTATGTTTTCAATTTCTGACTTTTTTCAAATTTCTCTGGTTCAGGTATCCATTTCGGGGATTAACTGATTTTTCTTTGCTTATTTGTTAACTAGATTGAGAAATTGCAACGCAAGGTTAAGCATTTTGATGATCTGGAGCTGTTGATGGAAAAAGAACACACTGAAATGGAAAATGTAGAAGATTCTCTCTTGACTGAACGGATTGATGTGTTACGGCAAACATTTAGATCTGGAATCACTAGATGGAAGGATTATTCTTATGTAAAATCTTAGATCAGTTTGTATGTACGCGTATAGTTTTGGTGCTCGATGGCGTACAATTGGACTATCATTTTACATCAGGGCCAATGATGTACTGTGTAATTTATTATTAATTATACCATCGAACCCTCCAGACTCCATTAATTAGGTAACGGCTTTTAGAAGGTTCTATCTTAGATACCATAGAACCGTTTTCGGGAAGTTGACCTAGTTTTGAAAACTTTTCCGAGTAATTGTATTGTAACCCGTACCTCTGCAATTTCGACTTATTAAATTAAGCTGAGAAACAAAAAGTCAAGAAAACATGAGAAGCAAAGAGAAAATGGTATTTTCAACTCAACCATGCGTACCAGATCTTTTCCTACATGCTTATATAAAGAGTGTTTGGGTCCGCACTTTTGGAGGTTTCATTTTCACAGACGAGCTCATTCTTGGGCCAGTACCAAGTTTTGTCATTGATCTATCTGCGAAAATACTCGTCTTAGCAATCTTGAGTGCCTGTGGATTTTGGCTCTTTTATTTAGGGGGCCGAAACGATCTCCATTTTGCACAAGATTGTGTGGAAATATTGAGTGAATGACCAAATTAGTCCTCAGTGTTTATCATTTATCTCCTTTTTGTATCAAAACATAATTATTAGTCTAACATAAAAATATGATCCATGTTCATCCTTAATGTCAACTTTTCTTTGTTAGACAACAAGCATACATGATAACATTCATATGTTGCGCTCACGTGGCCTTTTAAAACTTTGTACTTAAAATTCCTTAATTTTCATTCCTAACTCGGGAAAACCCAATATATCTTTAAATTTTACATAGATTCATACGTTGTTTTTGTAATATTGAGGGGTAATTGATGTGCTTATGTTTTCCCTTGAAATTAATTGCCCTTGGATACATGCAGGGAAAAATTTGATGCAATACCACAAACCTTAGGTACACATATACAGTATTTTTATATTAATATGTAACAAGGTAATTGCTTATTTTTACATTCATATGGGTGATAAGACTGTATTTTTGTATATTTTTATAACTTATATATTTATATTTGATTATTATTTTAAGTATATTTTACACTAACTTATACATTAATTGTGAAGATTAATATAAGAAGATTACAATTAAGTTTTTGGTGCATTTTGAGCATAAATTAATTGAAAAATAAGGTATTGCTATAGTTAGCACGCCCAAATTCCAGCAACTAGCACAAGAGTACTTTAACCACATGCATGGTTGTGCTTATGACCTTGCACAGTTGTGCTCAAATGCGGGAAGTCTAAATCTTAAGCAATTTTATAATTTTTAAACCCTATAAAAGAGACATAGAGGGAGCAACTTAGGCATCATTTACCAATCCTTTCACATCCGGTTTTCATCTCATCCCTTTCACACCTTTATCACATCTCTTTCACATCTTCAACCTTATTACTGACTAGTCGCTGACAACTATTAAAGTTTTGAGAGCGCGTTAGATCAAAAGCTCTCATTATTTCTTTTTTATTGGAGACTCTTCTAGTTTGTATTTACTTTTTAATTTCTATAGATTTGTTTAGTGTTGTTTTGATTTCTTTTTATATTATATCTAGCTAAACCCATAGCTAAGCTATGCTAAATTATTTGCATAACTTTATGAAATATTTTTTTATTAATAATAATTTCACATTTCCTTTTTTGATTGGTCTTTACCCTGTTGTGTTATATTTGTATGTTTAGAATTGACAACTTTTAAACATATCATAATTAATTATATCATAGGCAACTATATCACATATAGGTAATGGATCTATAGGATAAAATAAAATAAAAGATTAGGTAAACCAAACTAATCTTTCTCTTTCAATCGTTATTAAATTAACAACTCATAAGCTCTTTATACTTTCTCTTCCTTTTACCTTATATGACCATCGAGGGTAATAGTTTAGGAAAAAGACTGTTAACATTGTATGATCATTTAGTGTTAATAGCTTTAGTATGAGTGATTGACAATTATAAAAAAGCTGAGATTAGAATTGATTTAAAAGAGAATATAAAGAATTGTAAAGATGAAATCATACGTCTTAAGTTCTTCTTGATTAGTTTAGTATAAGAGGTTATACTATTTTTAATTCTATTTTAATCACTTTCATATTTGAATTTTTTTTATTTAATTTCATATCCTTTAAGTTCAAATAATTGAATTAGAAAATTCTTAATAATTGAAAACAATAATTGTGGGACGATATTTTGAAAACTTATTTTTAGAACTCTTTATTACTTTTCGACAATGGGCCCAAATATAAATACACCAGAAAGGATTGTTGCATTCTCTTCATTGCCTTTTGAGCTTTGTCTTTTAATTGACCATTACTCTTACTTGTTTTAGAATCCCACTACATTACCACTCATATGACCAACAAATTATTCTATTCATCTACTTGTTAATGTCGAACCTATAAATGTAAAATCATATTGATACCTACACTTCCAAAAACAAGAAATTGAAGGACAAGTTGATGAGATGTTAAGGAATGGACTCATTGAACCTAGTTGTAGTCCATTTTCCTCTCTTGTTCTATTGGTAAAAAATAAAGGATGGAACTTGGCGATTCTGTGTTGATTACCACGCTCTCAATGCTATAACAATTAATAATCAATTTCCTATTCCAACTATCAATGAACTTTTGGATGAATTAGGGCATGCTAGCCAATTTTCTAAATTAGACCTTGCACAAGGCTTCCATCAAATTTGAATGAGAATAGACAATATCTCTTAGACAACTTTTTACACTCACCAAAGGCACTATGATTGCATAGTTATGCTGTTTGGACTCTTGAATACACTTCAACTTTCAGGCAATAATGAATGACTTGTTCAAGCCATTCCTTCATAAGTTTGTGCTCTTTTTTAAATGATATTTTTGTGTTCAGTACACATTAACTCAACACTTATAACACCTTGAGATGGTTTTTAAAAACTTTAGGAAGGTATATTTTTTCTCAAACATGCTAAATGTGCAATTGGCCAACGAATGATCGAATGCTTAGGGCATATCGTTTCTAATTAGGGCATTGCACCTAAGCCATCTAAAATTCAAGCCATGCAAGACTGACCTATTCTTACTTCTTTCTAATAATTACTTGGTTCTCTTTTTATAAATTTTAATTATGTTGTCTTTTATATTTGGTTATATTTTAACTAATATTAGATTGATTTTTTTAAAATTTTTTATTTGATTAATTTTTTTTCATTTTTAAAACAATCATATACATTCTTTAATAAGAAAGAGTATTATTCATAAGTTCAAAGATATATTAAAGAAAAAATGCATTCCTTAAAAAAATTCAATATCAAAGAATAGAAATAAATTGTTATTGAAAATATAGTCATTTTATATTGCAATTTTACACCACAGCTAACATGAAAAAAATAAACTTTAACAATAATATAATTTTTATTATATCTTTGAGTCTGTGAACTAGAATATGTTAAAAATTGTTTTGAAAATAATATTTTAATATGTCTTTTGTCATAAAAATTTACTATAAAAAATTATATAATAATTTTTATTTAATTTATTAATTAATTTATTAATTTTTTATTTAACAAGTAGATATAATTGGAATGGTTATGCACACAAGTCTAATTGAAAAAAAAAAAACTATTCAAGACAAGGTTAATACCATAATATTTCAATTACAAAATATAAGATATAAACAACAATTTTAATGTTAGAAACTACAAATATTTATAAGAAAATATTTTAATTTTTTAAAAATTATTTGTAGAAAAAATAAAGTAATAATATGATATAATTATATTTTTCTATTTGAATATATAACAAAAGAGAATTTGTCTAGAGTTTCAAACATCAATGTTATAATATTTAATATTTACGTGTATTATCATCTTTACATGTATTATTATGAAGAAATCTTAAAATAACCATATTATTATATTTTTAAAATTTATTTATTTAAATACATTATATATGAGTGTGGATAAAATATATATAATTGATGCATAATATTCAACAAAGATTTATATCATTGTTGATATAAAAAAATTACTCATTTATAAATTTATTTAAATATAAAAATTTTAAAAAAAATTTCATTGTAATAATTATTATAATACTTTATATTTTTAATTAAAAATTAATTATTTATTATTACTTCATTACATAGATTTCAATGATGTACATATTATTCAAAATATTGATTTTATAAGATTTATAATTATTCATGAGCATAATAATTTCATGAACATTCCTCAAATCTTAATTATGACATATCAAAAAGTAATATGATAAATTTAAATTTTTTTAATATTTTTTCTTTCTTATTTTAGAGTTACACGACACATTAAAAATCCTTTAACTAAATTTATTGTTTTAATAAAATATTCACATATGATGTTCTTGATTTGGTATTATGTTTCTTTCTATGAATTTGAAATGGAACAGTTTCTATAAAGATGTTTGAGTAGTAGTAACAAGGTAATTAATTTGTTAATATACTTAAATACTATGTGTTCTAATGTTTTAATTTTAACATTTAAATTAAATCAATTATATATCATTATTTTAATTTATATTCATTATAAGTATATTTATTTTATTTGATAAAGTTATTACACAACTGACATTAAAAGACCTTATCATATTATTTGAAATTGTAAATAAATATGTAAAAGTTTAACCTCCTTAAAAGTCTAACCATATAATTAATTGTATAAATAAAACATATACCTATTTTTATATGTAATAATTTTTTTTAAAGGAAGATAGTGATGATATAAAGTTGTCTCCATTTAAATATTATCGATACTTTACATATTTTATTAAGTAAAAATGAATACTACTTTAAAAACATAAAAGATAATTTCACAATAAATAAAATTTAGAAGTTAGTAGTGGAGGTAATAAATAAAATAATATTATAATATTTTTATTTATATTTTATAATATAAATAAGAAAAAAATTATTTTTAATTATTTAATATTTTCATAATGTGAAGGAAGAAAATTTGGATAATGCAAGTATAAAAATTAAAGAAAATACCTAAGAAATAAGATTTAAAAGATTAAATGCTTTAAGATTTTGTACGATTTAAAAAATAAAATCTAATTAATATTTTTATGTTTTATTAAGATATTTAATTATATATATATATATATATATATTATTCTTAGTTTATTATTGTTATATATATTATCACTTTAATATAAATTTTATTATTAATATAATA